CCCGAACTGCGTCGTCACTATAACGATTAGGCCCAATATGGTTGTCATAATATTGTTTTGCTATTCCCCATATATATTCGATGGGATTAAACTGGCAATGATACGGTATCAGACGTAAAACATGATGACCGTAACTTTCAATAATCTGATCCGCAACAAACGTTTTTAGTTTTGTGTGTATATTTGCTAACCGTAATAATTCTGATTTTAATATATATTGAGGAAATGTATATGTTTCCTTTGTCAACTATTCTTTAATTTTATCAACAGTCCAAGAATTCGTTGGACTTTTGTTTAATACTTCAGAATGGTAAGGTGCATTGTCTAAAATAATTACGCTGGGCTAACTTAAACTGAGAGAAGTTTTTCATTGCAACCATTTTACAAACATTTCTGTGTTCATATTATCGTGATAGTCACTGGATTTTGATTTAGATGAAAAATATTAAATCAGCACCTTCTATAAAACCCGATTTCCCTCCTGCATGTAAAATTATGTGTCGCTTCCCTTTTCCATCGGTATGTTTGATGGACTTTACGTTATCATCTTGCCATATTCTCTTGGTTGCACCCCTAGAAAATATCCATGTTTCGTCCAAATATATAAAATTCCGCTCCTTCTTCTTTAAATTAGAATATTTTCTTAGAAAGTTAATTCTCTTGTGCACGACAGAACTTCTTTCACAAAGGGCCTTTCTGTTATCCTCCTTTTGAAATTTGGAACCCAAGTTATGTATCACTTGCCATAGACTTGTTCTGCCAATGTCGGCAAATTTTCTATCTATTAATTCCGAGAGAATTGTATTTAAGGTCACATGTTCCTTGTTGGCCCCTCATTCGATAAATGGTATCATTATTTCAAAATTCTTTCCATCTGGAATATCTTTCGTTTTCAGTGATGGGCGAGTTTTGCGGTGATCTTCTTTCGGCAGTTCACCATTGTGATTTTGTAATATTCCTCTTAATTTGGTTTCACTAATTCCTAGAGCATCGCATACGCGTTGTTTGTACAGACATTACCGATTTTAAAGGACCGCTATTTTCTTTTTTATCCGTAAAATACTTACGTACACTACAAATTAGACTGTCTACATCTACACACGTCCTAGGCATTTTTAAAATTTCACTAAATTCACAATATACATACAATGTCAACACTTGCAAAAAATCAATTCAACTGCAATATTTGTAACAAATTTAGTACCTACCCTAATGTAATTTTAATTTAAATCAAACCATTAGGGCAATTTTGCCTAATTTCTTGGGAAGGGCTTATTGGAACTGGTTGTCAATGACTAATTTGCATAATTTTGTTAATCCGAAACCCGCGTAAGTATAGCGAACAGACTGTAATGTCACAGTTTATAGCTAAAGAATCAGTTCACCCTGCCTCGGCCCTTTTGATGTCAATGTTCCAGTTTCTACACTGCACAACTCGGATTTGTATCTCTGGCGCATACAGAATCAAATCTAACCAATACAATATATGACAACTGCATATATTTAACCAGCAGTCTTCTGCGCATCCTAAATTTGTATCCTTGGAGTGGATGTTATTTTGGAACATCCAATTGGTCCGAGTGAGCTAACTGATTATTTAGCAATAAACTATAGTAAGATCTTTACACTCGTCTTTACATGTAATTTCATTTTATAATAATTTCTTCGTTATTTATGCTTTTCGTCGATATGAATAATATTCACAAAAAGTATTTGCTTTAAAAAGTTTCTAGTCCACATTTTTGCAGCTCCATGTTTTACTGTTAAATAGGTGTACATTCAGCTTTATCAGTTTTAAACTAACAGATTGAGAGTTAAGGCGATTTTACAGCATCCGTTTCAAACTTAAGTGTTAGAAAGACCCGTATAGTTCGAATTGTGCGAAACATGGAACTACAGAGAAATTATTACCCAGCTATGATCTATTATGATTTTAAAATTGGCCTGACCCAAGAACAAAGTATCGAAAGACTTGTGTTGGCATTTGGAGACGAAGCACCATTTCGGGCTACGGTATATAGATGGTATGTGGAATTTTGGAGAGGTCGTAGTAGCTTAAGGATAAAGAGCACGACAGGAAACCATCCTCAGCGATAATTCTCGAAAAGGTGGTTGCTGTCAGAATATTGATCACAGAAGACAATCTTTGCACTTACCAAATTATAGAGCATAGGCATAGGATCAGCCTACCAAATTTCAAATCAATATGTTAAATATTAACCAGAATATTGCAAAAAAAACAATAAATAAATGTTATTTTTAACAACCTGTATCCCACTAGTAGGTGACATTTTACTTAGTGTTATTTAGCAAGATATTAATATTTTGTGGTCCTAAAATATAAAGTTGGAGATATTGTAGCAGTAAGAAATTTTCCAAAATCAACAGACGGTCAACCCACAAAACCTGAAAAAAAATATCAAGGCCTACAAAGGGGCAGTAGTAGAAGCATTAACCGGTAAAACGTATAAATTAGAAAAATTGAACCGACAAATAAAATCATAATATGTCACGTATCACAAATGAAAATTTATCAAAATCATGATGAATGTGATGATATGGATGTTGAAGATGAAGAAATCATTTTTGATGAAGTAGTAAACTATAAGGATTTTAATGAGTCAAATTCAAATGTTTCAGATGATTCAGAAGATTTGAAAGATAGAGATTGGGTTCCTAATCATGATGGAAGTGAAGAAGTTGCCCAAAATGTAGACTACAATAACAGACTAAGGAAAACTCGTAGGCAACCAGAAAGGTTCTGGATATGTTTGAGGACAAACAGTACCAGGAAGGTCGAATGTTATAGATTTTTTTATATGGAGACTCTGATGTCGGAATGAAATGTTTTTTGTCATTGTTAGATATTATTTGAGTGGATTGTCAATAAACTTTTTAAAAATAGCTCTACTACTTTTATAAAAACACACCCGAATCCGGTATTTCCAAAAGTAGATGTAGTAGAAAAGCCAGGGGCCCTCAATTAAAAAACGCAGAAGTGGCGCACCTAGAGGTAGGGACTACGGATTCAATGTGATGGTGATGACGATGTTTTGGAACAAAAAAACTGCTATTTTTGGATAGTTTACCAAAATCAATAGATGATCTTTCTAAAATTAACGATATACAGGGTGAGTCATGAGGAACCTTACAGACTTCTACCATATGTAGAGTCCCTTAAGGAGTATATCATATGAGCATTAAAAAGTGGCAACTCCCCTTCGTTATTAATATACGGGGTATTTTGTGAATTTTGACAAAACTTTATAGATTTCTTTAATTTTTTGATGGAGCATTACACTGGTGTCTAGCATTTAATTCATATCATGAAAAGTTAAAAATTCCAGGACTGGCTTAGGAAAAATTAATCTCGACGATTCATATCAAAAAGTTCGCCCTGTATAAGATTTTTTTAAATTATAATAAGATATTCTTAAAGTACATAGATAGACAATCAAAACTGTGTATGTGATATTTTTGTCACCTTTTTTTTTATTAAGGTTCGATTTTGGGTAAAACTGAAAAATCACCTTAAGGGGTCACATAAATTATGTTATAACATAAAGAAAACATTGTTAATTGTATGCATTTGAACTAAATGAGCCAAACATAAGCCTTTAGTGAGCTTACTAGATCGTTAAATTCATTTTCGACAATTTCCAGATCCGGATTACTTCATTTTTAAATTTTAAATAGAAATCGGCCTATTTTTGTAGACTACAGAATCTACTCAACTAAATTAAACATGTCAATAATCAATAAATAAATTGTAGTGAATAACAATAACGAACAATAAATTCACACTTATTAATTAATAATTATAAATGCTATTTATTAACCTCTAATAAAAACTGCACATTTTATTCTTGCAACTAAGATATTATGTGGTTTTATTTTTATTATAAATACATAGTAGGTACCTATGTATCAAGGTAGGTTGTGATAGTTTGACGTTTGTTTGTTCTTATTTATTTGTCATTTGCAACCATTATTTATACGTGTAAAATAATATTTCGCTTTGTTTTATCTATTTTACAATAGTGTTAGAATTTTTGTTGTTGGTGTTGTTATTCAAAATGCTCCATAAGTTTTCAAATGCAGAATAAGCAGATATCATTTTTATGTACGGATTCTGTAATGGGAATGGCAGAGCTGCAGCAAGAGAATATCATAGAAGATTTCCTGGTCGTCGAGTTCCCTGTCATTCAACATTTGCATCAGTTTTTAATTATTTGCGAGAACATGGCACATTCCCTAAAGCAAATACAGAACGAAATGTAGATCATGAGCAGGAAGATAATATTCTTGATGCTGTTATTGCGAACCCCACAATAAGCACCAGGAAAGTAAGTCGACAACTTTATGTTACCCAATCAAAAGTGACTAGAGTCATACGAAAAAATAATTTACACCCATATCATATTCAATTAGTTCAGCGGCTACACCCTGGAGATGAAATCCATA